TTATGATCAACAACAATCCCAAGGTCCTTTTCACATGTAGTACTGCTGAGCCATATATCCCGCATCCTGTACCTGCGTGTTTGGTTGTTGTGCCCTAAATATATAATTTTGCATTTGCCTCTGTTGGATTTCATTTTATTAATTTCAGTACATTTTTCTAGTTTATCAAGGTCCTTTTTGAATTCTGATCTTATCTTTCAATGTGTTAGCTACCATCTCAGCTTTGTATCACCCATAAATTTGGTAAGGATTGTCTCTGATCCATCATCTAAATCACTGATAAAAATATTGAAGAGCATTAGCCTGAGGACAAAACCCTGTGGCACTCCACTTAAGGGCTTTTGCAGACTGCTAGAAATAGTGCAAATTGAGGCCACTTTAACTGTCCTGGCTCAGTGCTAGGGAATCATGGGAATTGTATTTTTTCTGAGACATTGAGCCTTCTCTGGTGCCACAATAAACTGCAGTTCCCATGATTCCCTAGCACTGAGTCAGGGCAATTAAAGTGAACTCAATTTGCACTATTTCTGGCAGTCTGCAAAGGCCCTAAAACCTCCTTCCAGTTTGAAGCACAGCCACTGATGACAATTCTTTGAGTATGGTTTTCCAACCAAATATGGATGTATCTGATGGTGTTTTCACTAATTACTAATCAAAATATCCTGGGAGACTTTATCAAATGCTTTGCTGAAATTCAGATAAATGACATCCACAGCATTCCCACCATCTACTAAACTAGTGACCTGATTTAAAAAAAAGATGCAAGTTTAGTTTGGCAGGATTTGTGCTTGACAAAGCTTTGCTGGCTCCTCCTAACCACCACTGCATTGCCATCGAGATATTTGCAAACAGACTCTTGTATAATCCATTTTAATATTTTTCCTTGTATTGAAGTCAGGCCACCTTGCCTATAGTTTCCTGGATCTTCTTTTTTGAAGAGAAGGAAAATATTTGCTCATCTCTAGTTATCCGGCACCTTGCCCGAACTTACTTTCATCCCTTGCAAATAAGGAAGTTCACATTTAATAGATAATGTAGAATTCAAAGATATAGCTGTGTTAGTCTGTAGAATCTGTATGTAGAGAGGTCTTGTAGCACCTTTGAGCCTAACTGAAAGAAAGAAGTTGGCAGCATGTGCTTTCTTAGACTTAAGTCTACTTCATCACCAAATGCATCTGAGGAAGTAGACTTAGGGCCTTTGCAGACTGCCAAAAATAGTGCAAATTGAGTCCACTTTAACTGTCCTGGCTCTGTGCTAGAGAATCATGAGAATTGTATTTTTTTCTGGGACATTGAGCCTTCTCTTCCAGAGAGCTCTGGTGCCACAATAAATTACAGTTTCCATGATTCCTTAGCACTGAGCCAGGACAGTTAAAGTGGCCTCAGTTTGCACTATTTCTGGCAGTCTGTAAAGGCCCTACATTGAGGAAGGTGGGAGGTGAGAGAGAAACTGGGACGTTTTAAAACAGCTGAAAAAATGGAGCAACAAAGGATTAATCAATACTGTCCTTGCCATATTGGGACAGTTGGAGGGTATGTGACTGTTCCTGGATCCATTTTAGTGCTCCTCAGCAATGCTGTCAAATTGTGATACTTTTGAACTATAGCTTCACTCATAAGAAAAAGAAAAATGTTTTGAGACAATGATACTTGGATGTGATATCTCTTGTTCAGTTATGGGACACTAACCGTTATCAGTGGCTTCCTATGAAAGGGCGGCTTGTTAGGAAAAGTTGTTTCAGAATCAAACCCCCTTCCAGAATGAAGAAGATGGCTGTGTCACAAGCAGCATGCCCAGTGTGTTCATAGTAGTTGTTCCTGCGTTGTTCTCTTATTAATCAGATTGTGCCGTTGTGGTGATATGTGTTTGGGGATGCTTCCAGTAAAACAGAACTAGAAATGGGACGTGATTATCAAAACAGTTCTGAAGATCTGTAGAAGTAAGTACTCCTTCTTGTATTCTTACGCAAGGAAATGATGTTACATGCCTGTGGATCTTCCAGCAAGGTGTTTGTCGCAAATAGTGTTCTGAGTTTAGTTTTACTTCTTGATTGTAGTTGCCATTTTACTCACCGTAACCAAGTTAGAGGAAAAGAGATTCCACCTAGACATTAGGAGGAACTTCCTGATAGTTAGAGCTCTTCAACAGTGGAACACACTCCCTTGGAAAATGGTGGAGTCTCCATCTTTGGAAGTTTTTAAACAGAGGCTGGATGGTGATCAGTTGGGGGTGCTTTGATTGTGAGTTCCTGCATGGCAGGGGGGGTTGGACTGGATGACCCTTGGGGTCTCTTCCAACTCTATGATTCTATGATTCTAAGTCTACGAAAGCTCATGCTGCCAAGTTTTCTTTCAGTTAGTCTCAAAGGTGCTACAAGATTTCTCTACAATAGATAATATAATTTTTCTAATGGAGTGCCGGGGCACTTTTGGACCTCCAGATGTTGTTGGATTCCAGTTTCCATAATCTCCAGCCCTCTTGGCCAGTAACAAAGGATCATGGCAGTAGCAGTTCATCTAAATCAGGAGGCTAAGGCAACCTATCTGCTTTAAGGCTGTACAGTGACAGATGAGCAAGGGTTAAAGATGGAGTTCACAGTCTACTTTTCATGAATTACCTGGGAAAGAACCATACAGGTAAATGACACCATATAATGGAAACTAGCCCGTATGATGTAGTGGTTGAGCATAGGAGTTGGACTTCTATGTTGGAATCGAAGCCCGACGATTGGGGTTGGATTCCCCACTCAAGCCATGGAAACCCACTGGGTGACCCTCTCAGCCCCAGAAAATCCCCATGATAGTATCACCTTAGGGTTGCCATAAATCAGAAACAACAAAGGTACACAACAACAACAAACATTCAGGGGTAGCTGTGTTGGCCATTTAGCAAATTCAAACAAAAATCCATCAGTGATACCTTTATTGGCCAACCAAAATGCACAATATACTTGTTGCAAGCTTTCGAAGCACCATGGGCTTCTTCATCGTCAGGCAAGAGGTTACAAACTAAACAGGAGAAAAACAATTGGAGATGTTAGTCAGATGCCTACAACAACTTAGAAAATAGGAACAAGAAGCATAGAGGTGGTTAAATGCTTGTGGAGGCAGCAGGGAATATCTCCAGTATAAAACCTGAAGTGTCAAAGTATTTCATGTGAAAAATCTTGCTACAATTAGGACAACCACTACAGTAGTTGCTCCGTTGGGGTTAGGGGTGAAGGACCCCCATTAATGTAGAAA